AATTCTTTTCGGTGCTCAACACATCCAGCGGTGTCATGCAGGTGTCTCCTGTCGTCTATTCTTTGTGATTTCGTTGTCGATTTGTTCCTTGAGTCTTCTTGATCCGTCTCCAACATCTTGGGTGCCGAATTACTCCGTGGGTGTTCGCTCACCGACATGGTGTACGCTGCTGATACACTGATGATTAAGAAATGCAAGCAATTTTGAATAACTTAAGTAATTCCGATTCACAGCTTGGTGTGCAATTTAAGCCCGTGAAGATTAAAATGCTACTGCAAGATTGGGTGAGATCAAAAACAAACTTCACCTTGTAAGTGAAGCGATCAATGTGGTGGATATGTTCGGAGGCTGCGTAGGTCCCGACGAACTGGTGAAAGACGAAATCACTCCCTGAATTGGAAAAGCCATGGCAGAACTTGTTAGCCTCCGGCATTTGTGGAGTAGACGTGACACCAGCCTGACTGTCAAGGGTACAGTACAATGCCATGGTTTAATCTGTCCTAGTTTATAGGATCAAATACTTGGCTGCTACGTATGGAAGACCTTTGAGGGCCCTGTCATAGATTCCCCCGAAGAATCGCGTGATTCTAATTGGAGCACCAGATCAGTAATGCTGAAGTACGCGAGATGGCTTTCGGAAAATTTCACTTTCCCTCAATAGACCAGCCGGTCATACTTCACAGGCTATGCTAGTTAGGCCATGTACTTCGTATGCTAGAGAACGGGCGAGATGGCTCACTGGTTAGAGCGCAGATTTACTGGCCAGAAGGTCCGTGGCTCGAACCCGACCCCCCTCGATTTCCCCTGCCTTGGGCAACCTGACAGTATCCCAGCCCTCATGCTTCCTTTGGGTGACATGGCAGCTAGGCACTGAAAGAGTCGTACAGCTGAACGATTATCTTGTCTCACGCCAGAGAACCGTCTGCCTCGTAGAGTCCTCTTCGCCCAATCTTGTGTCGGATGGGACAACCGAGAGGTGATCGGCCCATGACTTGGCAACAAGGCCTGAGGGCCATCACTAGTCAACTTAATCGCGTTCGTAAATGCCGTCTCCCAGGGAAGCAGTCAAACCAAGAGCGGCGAGGCCTTGTACTACGATTACTCGTATTATGAAATGATCTGAGGGTAAAGTCGTATTGTTGTGCACGGTGGGGGTGTAAAAGCAGTAAGGCGTTTCTTCAAAGCTACCAGCACGTCCATATTTATGAAAGCAACAATGCCGCATTACCCCGAGGATGGATGGGATAGAAAACATTGCCCCTAAAAATCGCGCACTCCGGTCACCGAATGGTTGACCGTGGCTGCCGAGGACTAATATAATACGATCGGAAAACCAACGAAAATTGCCATGAGCTTGATGCTCCAAATGCATCTGTGCTCAGCAGCATCTTTGTCTTATTCCATGCGCGCTCATGTTAGACCAGCCCCCTCCAGCCGATTCGAACTATTCAGTCATCGACTGCGGACAGGGTCTCCTCCCTAACAACCACTGACTTGCGAGTCCGCCGTACCTCTTCCTCCGCCTGAACAGCCGGGAAGTATCACTTTCCCACATAGTTATTTGTCCATCGTTCCCCCCTCCCACTCCATTTCCACTCTACAAATAAACGATCATTTGATTGTCAGTTTTCTTACCGATGCATCTTTTCCACTCCTCTACCCACTAACATTAAACAACACTATTGAATCCACGAAATTCTTTCTACATGGCAACTTCCCGCTTTTGTTCTGTGTGTTTCGATTTCCCCTGCCTTGGGCAACCTGACAGTATCCCAGCCCTCATGCTTCCTTTGGGTGACATGGCAGCTAGGCACTGAAAGAGTCGTACAGCTGAACGATTATCTTGTCTCACGCCAGAGAACCGTCTGCCTCGTAGAGTCCTCTTCGCCCAATCTTGTGTCGGATGGGACAACCGAGAGGTGATCGGCCCATGACTTGGCAACAAGGCCTGAGGGCCATCACTAGTCAACTTAATCGCGTTCGTAAATGCCGTCTCCCAGGGAAGCAGTCAAACCAAGAGCGGCGAGGCCTTGTACTACGATTACTCGTATTATGAAATGATCTGAGGGTAAAGTCGTATTGTTGTGCACGGTGGGGGTGTAAAAGCAGTAAGGCGTTTCTTCAAAGCTACCAGCACGTCCATATTTATGAAAGCAACAATGCCGCATTACCCCGAGGATGGATGGGATAGAAAACATTGCCCCTAAAAATCGCGCACTCCGGTCACCGAATGGTTGACCGTGGCTGCCGAGGACTAATATAATACGATCGGAAAACCAACGAAAATTGCCATGAGCTTGATGCTCCAAATGCATCTGTGCTCAGCAGCATCTTTGTCTTATTCCATGCGCGCTCATGTTAGACCAGCCCCCTCCAGCCGATTCGAACTATTCAGTCATCGACTGCGGACAGGGTCTCCTCCCTAACAACCACTGACTTGCGAGTCCGCCGTACCTCTTCCTCCGCCTGAACAGCCGGGAAGTATCACTTTCCCACATAGTTATTTGTCCATCGTTCCCCCCTCCCACTCCATTTCCACTCTACAAATAAACGATCATTTGATTGTCAGTTTTCTTACCGATGCATCTTTTCCACTCCTCTACCCACTAACATTAAACAACACTATTGAATCCACGAAATTCTTTCTACATGGCAACTTCCCGCTTTTGTTCTGTGTGTTCAATCGTCAAACAGATACAGATATGGTTAGAGCGCCATTCTAGTAACTGGAAAGTCTGTTTTCAAACTCGACGTATACACCTCGACTTCCCCTTTCTAGGCTTGAGCAACCTGCCAGTATCCTAGCCCTCGTGCTTTTTTCAGGTGGCATGACAACTAGGCATTTTCTAGGCTGAGCAACCTGCCAGTATCCTAGCCCTCGTGCTTTTTTCAGGTGGCATGACAACTAGGCATCGAAAAAGTGCTACAGCTTAGCAATTTGTTGATTGTTATTTATACCCCAAGCGGAATACTGTGTCGAGATTTATCCCGGCTCATTCGTCACGCAAGAAGCACTGAGAGTGACCCTTACGGACGATCTGAATGCCCAAATCAATTCTCTGGGCTCTGTGAAATCACATCTTAGCGGTCGATTCGGGGTAAACGCTTACTTCATAGTCAGCGAAGAGGGACCTCCTCAGTTGTTGTGGGCACTACTCGTTTCTGGCCACCACGAGTTTTCGACCGAGGGTCGCACCACGTAACCTAGTGACCACCAACTGTCAATCAACTGTGGACCCGATTAGATCACGTGGCTATCAGCCACCGGTGGGGAGCCACAATCCAAAACTGCCGTTCTACCTGGAGGGGGGAGCCCCAAAACTGCCGTTCTACCTGGAGCATATAACTTTATTCCGATTACGGCACTGTGTGGGTGCACCCGAGAGTTTGCTTCCCCTCATACCCTCGAAAACTTGGAGAACTACCATAGCTTAACAGTATCGATCGGAGCTAGCTCAGTTACTCTCTGCAATAAACCGACGCTACACTGGTAGCGATCACTTAGGTGAAAAATAGCAAAATGTGAACGGAGCTATGCTAGTGATGTTCAAAGCTGACCGTGGACCGTCAGACACTTTGGTGGTGTATATAGGGCTATGATGTATGCATAAATTCTTAGCCCTCCTTAAAGCCAACTCCCGTGGGCGGCTAAGAGCCTATGGGGAGCTGTCGCCTGAGTTCACTACATCAGGTGTTGTGAGGCAAGGCTTTTTTCTTTCAGCTTTCCTCTTCAACTTTGTTATTGATATGATCATGGATCCTTCCATCATCATCATGGAAGAATCACTGCCAGTCTCCAATACCTGGGGTCGAAATTACCCCAGAGCATTCGCTGTAAGATCCTGTGTACGCTTATGACATAGCTCTCCTTGAATCTGACGCTATCGTAATGCGTGTGACAAACTACTCTTAATACTGCGCAAGTTATTTAAAGACTGCTTTTGATTACCTATGTCTTCAAAGGATTGTACATTTCTGATGACAGCGTTCCCGACCTAAAGCTGCCACCTTGACGTGGTGGTCGGGCTTCAGTGCTGCAATGATCCCGCGGGCTACACTGGCTGGAATTTCGTTCCACAAGGTTCAACCATGCCAGGAAGGCCAAAGGGGAGCAGCCAGACCAAGAGCAGCGAGACCCCGTACTACGAGTAATCGTGCTACGAGGCGGTCTGGGGGTAAAGTCGTACTGTCCTCTGCGACAGGAGTGTGAAGGCAGTAAGGTGTTTCCCCCAGGCGACCAGCATGTCCATATTTATGGAAGCAGCGATGCTGCCTTCCCCCGAGGAAGGACGGGTTAGAAAAGGTCGGCCCCAAAAACCGCACACTCCGATCGCCCAACGGTTGACCGTGACCGCCAGCGCATTATCCNTACAGCTGACAATGATGATGATGATGACAGCGTTGCTTTAGCAACAAGTAGGTTCGTTACACACCTGGAGTAGGATTGGCGGTTTAGTGCTCGTCTCAACACTTTCACAACCGATTATGGTGGTTGGGACGTGATTGGAATGCTCACTAATTGTTTATCAGTAAAGGTTTTCTTCGAACACCCTAGACCAAGCTGGAGACGAAATCTGGGCTCAGAGGTTTAGCACCTTCACACGGAGACTCATTTCTGTAGGTGACCATAGATTCTTTGTTTAAGGGTTTGAAGACGATATAAAACTTTTTCCAATAAGTCCCAACCCCCTCCTTCGTTTCCATTTTTATCTGGGGCTTTCTTCCTCTATGGTTGTGCTGCAGTTAAGAACCAATATCCATTACTGGTGTATTATCGTCTACGATGATGGTGACGATGATGCTATCTTGTTGGAGGCTTTTGTTTCCTCTGAAGGACTAGACGTGACAAACCCAGAAGCCACTTTGTGGGTGACCGAAGCGATAGGATGGATTCCCAATTCTCTGTAAAATTGTAGCTGCATTTGCTACTCCTCAAACTCAAAGCGTCTTCGAATATTAATTATGGTATATCGTTTAGTTTGTGATTCATCGCTTTTGCTTCATCTTGCACTGGTCATTGGGGAAGCATGAGATGAATTCCGGTCTTTACCGGTGTTTGCTGTGTTCATCCGTGCGGAACGATCAGACTGGCCTGCTTCGCGACCCACGTAAAGGCTAAGGTTGATACTGCACCTCAGTAATTGGTGCACACCATTATGAGCACGACATCGGCAGTCTAATAACTTTCCAAACTGGGAGGAAACCCAGTGCCGCATGGATTGGCCAGTTTCACCGCTGGCTGAGTACGTAGCGTCTCGGACAACCATTCAATGGGCCTACACACATTCTGGTCGGGACTGGACCACCTTAGGCAGCAGTCTTTGTTGGAAGGCTGAAGGGGACAGACAAGTTTTCCTTGCCCATTTTTGATGCGGTTCCTCCTCGCCATGGTTAGCGATCAGTCTTAGTGGTTCATTCTCTGGCATAATCGCCGTAGTGGGCAGCAGCACAATACATTCACTTTTCAGTGCGAGACAGTTATCGTGAAGCGCACCATGCTCACAGCTCTCAATGTCATGTACGCGATTGTGCTCATACAATTCTTGGTGCACCACAGCTCACTGTTCAATAATTCTTTTTTTGTTTCTTTTCTTCAGCACATGGTCGCCTACAGGCTTCTTCCGGCACCGAAAGTTTCTCCCATCGCTCTTTGGCAAGCATTCTTCAGTTAAATGGAACGGCAGGAGCCAACATTTTACTCGTATTCTTCTTTATTTCCATCGAATGTAACGGATTTATTCCCTGAGCAATCATGTATGCCGTACAACCTAACGTCAGTGGCGGGCCAGTCCGATCGCTTGAAGCGCACAAGTCAGTCGGAAGAGTCCATTTATTCTGGACATTTTGTTGCACCCAAGTGGAATCCCAGTTCTTCTAGTGGACAGTCGCTAACTGTCTGCCCGGGGTGCTTCACTCAGGTATGTGATGATTCGAACTGGTGCTCTGCTTGTGGCGAATTGTTGATTGGATCCAGTTTATGCTCCTCAGACCTGGAGAGTTGGAGTCATCAAGGGCTCGCATTCCGATCATTGCATCCTGCACTCAATGAACCGGTTAAGTATCCCAGTGAATGGCATGCTGGTGCCTCAACCCAGTCTCATGACTGTGTGCCTTCGTATCCTGTCGCGGAAAACCATGTACCTCTAGCAGACTGCTCTAGTTACACATTTGCGGCCGTGTCATCGATTCCTTTGTCTCAGTCGTTCACTGCAGCATCGTTTGTTACGGCACCATCCTTTGCAGCCTCTTTCACAAGTGTGTCGTGTCCGACTACTGAGTTTGACCCATCAGTTGCTCAGCCGTCTAGCCACTCCTTTCATATCGCAGAAACCAGTGCGCCTATTTGTCACTCGCAGATGGAGTCACTGCAGTCGACGTTGAATGAACTCCATCTAGGCCATGGACGTTACATAAGAACCGGTGCTCAGGAATATGGCATTCCTTGTCCGGGGAATTATTCTCCTATGGCTTCCACTCTGGCGTCTTTTCCGAACTCGGTTGCAGAGAGGGGAGCGCCGTCAATGGTTGCGAGTGCTTCAGTCCAATATGACCCGAGTCAGCTGTTGCAGAGTGTAAACCAACGTGTGCGTCAACGCTGCATATCTGGTCCAGTAGATGTATCTATGGTAACCACCCGAAATGGAGTTCCGGGAGATTTGCAATTCGACTTTGTTCCTGTGGTGTATCCGATCCGTGCTTGGCGCCCGGTCTCTATTTCTTCCAACGGTTCACAAGTCACGCCGAATTTCCCCACACAGGCGCAACTGTCTTGGGGTATGTCGCAGTCTGCGAACCTTTGCGTGCCCCGAAAAACGACATCTTTCCAGTCTTCTTACGGATGCCATGTTACTCTAACCGGAGCTGACATGTTTAATTGTCCTGGAGGCACCTCTGCTGAACTTGTGGATTCTCGGGAAAAATGCTGTATGAATACTCGTCCTAACAATCGACGCCGGAAAAACCCATCGGAATGCTCAAGGGCAGAACTCAAACGCGATTACGCAGGACCAAGGAGTTATGGCCGAACACGTAGCTTCAGCTCAGATGTACAACCGTGGAACGGTTCGGAAGCACGCACTGGGCCTCCCAGTCCTTCAAAGCCCGTATGTCACTGGCAAATGTCGCGCACTGCTTGGTCCGCTCATGACCCCTCTTTGGCCAAGAAAAAGTACGTAGTAAAATGTCCAATGAAATACTTTTCATATTCTTGTACTCCTTTCACATAAAGCGTTTCACGTGACCTTTTATAGTGTTGTCGTAAGCACACTAGCATCACGGTTGTCTGGCTCCGGTTGCGGGTTGAAAAAACCTTTGAATTGTCTTTGCAAATCTAATCAAGTTCTCGTATAAGGCCGACATTCGGATTCCATCATTTTATCTTCGAGCAATTATTCCATACGTGTGTTGGATTATAATCCTTTCGTGGCTGGTCTATCCCGTTTCCTTCTCGACGGGGTTCTCCGCCCGATAAGACCAATGTGGATCACGCTCTGCGCTTCCTATGAGTTTTTTGGTTGATAATTATGATCCGAAATAGCCATGAGCAATCGACTTTTTGTTTGCCGTTCCGCAGGAGAATACTAGTTATCCTCATGGTCTGAGTTCGGATACGACTTCATGATACTCCTGTCTTCGAGTTTCAGCTCATAATAGATAGTTCATTTCCCACCCTTATTATTTTTGTTTTGTTTCACCACATGTCGGATGATTCGTTCTATCAGAGCTTCCCTTGTTGAAACAACTTCCGTGTTACACGCCGTGTGCACGACATATGGATCTAACTGATTCATTCATCAGTAGGTTTGTTTCCCCTTCAGATCATCTGACTATCTACGAGCATCGTACTCCCATAGAACATGTGCAACACATAACCAGTCGTCCGTGAAACCTGAGGAACAAATGTAAGTATAGAGTTTTTCACGACACCATTGAATATATTCATAAACACAACCGTTTTATTGCTCCCCACTTATACTTCTTTTATCCGATTCCAGAACCGACAAATCAATAGAAACCGCGGTTCGGACGAACCACACACGAGCTTGTGCTCAGAGCTCAAATCGCCATCAACGCTTTCTTGAACAGAAACAACAGCGACGAAACGGTGGTGAAAGACGACGCAATCGCGGCACCCGGGTGGGTAGTTTTGGGGACACTCAAACTGTGGGTTACCGCCCATCCCAACCACAGCTAAATGCGGTCCCTAAGAAGGCTGTAAAGTCACGTCGGCTCAAGCAAGACATCAATTGTCATTCGAAACCAGAACGGCTGGCTACAACCGGACAGAACTCTGACGCAGTTTCAGAGGAACATGTTCAAGTGCCGGTGGGTTCACTGTGATTTCAGTATTTTGATGCTTATCAACACGCCACACCAATTGTTACCCTAACAAAGGTTCAATCCGTATTTTCAGGTGTTTTACCGTGTTACTCACAATCAAACGTCTTTAACCACACTTTCGCACACTTTTCCAATGCATCATATTAACCTTCACTTATTTCACTATTTTAACAAGGTAATAACCCTTTTAGACCAGTCTAATTGGGCTCGTGCCTGGGACCACAACGTTTGACGGAAGCAACAAACACGTAACTTGAGTGTTATCCTCCCCACTTAATTGTCAAAAACTTTGGCATTCCGTTTGGGTGGTTGACAGTTGGTGTCCAATCGCGTCTATGCTCGTTTTCGCGTGGTTTGCAGTGAGTTGCTTCGCTGCAATGGAACCCTGTCCAGAAGACTGACTAGTTTCATTTGTCATTCCTATCATACTATTATCAATTATCATTACTATTATTATCATTGGCGAAACCGGTAGGAGGTTCCTGAATGCCACACTATTCTGGATTGTTGAGTGACTGTTGACACTAGACCTCGTTAAATCTAGATCTTTGTCTGAAGAAATTTTTTGCAGATATATTAATAATCCTGCGGTGGAACATGATTTTAGTTTTATAGGTCATTGGTGGCATGCATCTCATTGCGTATTACGTCATTCCGTCGCTCCAGTATGAGAACAAAGAAAACAAACATATCACCTCGTCACCAACAGTATTTCAACCTGACTACTGCAATGTCATACGTAAATAATAATAATAGTAATAATCGTTCAGCTGTAACATCCTTCCGGTGCCTAGCTGCCATGCCAACCGGAGGAGGCACGAGGGCTGGGATACTGCCAGGTCGTTTAGGCCTAAACAGGGGAAGTCGAGTTGCAGAGGTCGGGCTCGAACCACGGACCTTCCGGTCAGTAAATTCGCGCTCTAACCACTTGGGCCATCTCTTGCTATGTAATTTCCAGGTAAAGTAATACGGTCGTCTCACTAACTTCCATGAGGAAGAAATACAAAGAAACACAATCAACTGAACAGTCGGTATCTCGTGAACACCAAAAACCAGTTTGACGCTTGCGTTTCACTGGATGTATGAAAAACGTCCTTTTAATTAAGACAGTGGAGTTGCTTCCATGACTTGGCGCCTATGATCTATACACCTGAAATCGTGTTTAGTTGTTAGGGGACCGCTTCGAGGGTGGATGGGCTGCGTAACCTTCAATTAAGTTGGCGGAAAATGAATTTTCTATTCAACGTCTGTGATACGTTTGTTTTTAAGGAATACTTAGCCATTAGAACTCAAGTTTACTGGTTTTAGAATGGTCGATACAAACTTAACACTGCACCTAGCTCCTGTAACACACTTCCAGGTTATCCAAACTGTCACTAAAGTTGAATAAACTTTTTGCTCACCTACTGATTGGTAAAAACTTGGATATTCAGTTGATATTTCAGTAGAACTCTCATCTGATGCTTTTGAACCGAGTGTACAACTCTATGACCGCCCTTACATTTAGCAAGACTTTTATCTAAGTTCTGGAGTAGGCAGTACCGCGCATGCAGTCGACGTCAGGTGGTGTGATACGAGATGACGGGAGTCTTTTTTCCTGAAAGTACTCACTGTGAGGCTGTTTAGTGGCAAGGATAGTTGCTGGGTCCAGATGTTTGATTGGTTAGTGAAAATCACTTCGGAAAGGCAACCTTAGTGAGATCTATTGACGTCTTTCCCCAACGTGCAATATCCTCTGAAAAGCAATGAAACAAATAACCTCGAACAATATTGCCTATTCGGGTGGACTATTGTAGTGCAATTGATTTTAATCAGGATGACAGTGACCCCTACTGCCTTTAATTACTTTGTCCACATAGCCGTTATGGGATGTGTTTTATCAAGAAACGTGCTGTGGATGGTTCTCCGGTCATAACTTCGCTTCGTGATAACCTTCGTCCGTCGGTTCAGTTCCAATACTTAAGACTCTGTTCGTGAAATGACCACAACTTACCCCGTTTAAGAGTCCTGGAAAATTTACCTGTGTCTTGTATCTCATACACTAATGTTCTACCGCATTGGTCCTTGCTGTGTGCCAGGCTGAGGTAACGATTGTGAATGCTCTTCTACGTGCCGAAATCCTTTTTTATCCCCTGGACTTAATTTGTAACACTGTTGGTAAAGAATCATTCTGTTGGAGACTGTGGCATCGCAATCATCTTCTAGGTGAGCTCTGAACTGAACACCGCTCGTGGCTGGACGGTTGTGTTCAAACTACAAGCCTGGAGGTCGCAATTTTGAGACTCCCTGGAGTTTCGTGCGGTCCGCGCTGCTGGTGATTCCCAATAAGAGCGAAGCAGCTATGCGGTGGTTGTCGGCTATTCGGCATAGATTGACTTCACTTACAGGACGAAAGCTCAATTGATTTCACATGCGGTTATAATCACTAACATCGCGCAGCCTGTGTTCACGATATATATGTGGGTTTATTGACCACTCAAGCTACTTTTAAGGTAGAGGCCTCCCATCCGTAGGTTGGCGGATCGGGCCTGCCGCCGGCTGCTCTTGCGTATGCTCGGACAATCTGACAATGTATCAGTCGTGGTGTATCTTTCTGACTTGCACTGCCACGACTGAGTGATTTGATTTGCAGTGTTTCCTGGAGTGTGGCGCTTGGTGACACTAGGTGATATTGTCACTCTTCGAATGGCAAGTTTCAGGTCATCAAGGTACCAAGTCTCTTCATCGTGCGTCCATGGCTTGAATCCATAGTCACGGATTCCTTAGCCTCGTGGTTGCTAGGTTCCGTGCTAACCCGGTTCGTTTAATTGATCGAAACGTCTAGTCTTGAATGCACATAGACTCCTCAACTTAACGTCTGCATTCCTCGGACCATGGCGTTGAAAAACCCTTAGTCAATATTCCACATAAGTTGTCCACAACCTTACCTCGCTTTCATGGATGAACGCGCAACGGCTATTCCGTACCACATGCTAGACCAGGATTATATCGTCTGAATTCGAATTCATTCGTGCCTCGAGTTAGTCTGCTTGCACAATTTCTGTCATATGTTTTGTCGGTTGTTTGCTGTCGCCTCAGCAACACCAGAGACGCAACAGTGGTTGATGCGCATTGGTATGCCCCACAGCAGAGAGGTGAAAAGTAAAGAAAGAGACTACTTACTAGTCACAAAGGGCAACAATACAATATTCTTGTGTTTGCATTTGGAACATACACATTCAAATATCCTGACACAGGCAACTTTCCCATGCAAGCTATCCGACAGGACAAGGTTACTTGTACGAGGTAGTGTAGTAACCAGAGTTTCAGGGATAAATTCTGTCACATTTAAGATGTATGAGAACTCATCTACTCTTTCTCTAACATGGCCGATTTCGAGATAGCTCAGTGGTTGGGGCACGAATTTACTGACCAGAAGGATAGCGGTTCGAGCATCTCGAATGCTCCTGTCTGTCGCACTTCCTTCAGGTGTCATGGTAGCCATGCACCAAAAGGGTGTTACAGCAATGCCCAAATTCAAGGCTATTCATCCCTTCACATTAAAGCCACCTCTCCAACACTGCTGAGGCAGCGTTCTGTTAGAGATGAGCTATCCCATCGCCGTTACGCGGAATGATTTTTTTGTTCTTAAATGTCCATAGTTCGATTAAGGTGCGCTTAGTTCTCGAATGTCCCTGTACTGTTCTCATTTGCCGATCTGGTGCACTCAGCAAAAGTCCTTGATCTATATTTAAAGCAAACCAGCGGCTATTCTGCCACTCCTAGTTACTGACGTTGATTGTGTTGGGCTCCCAGAATCAAGGGAAAAGTTGACTTGCAACTACCTGGTTAGCTCTGTGACAAGAGCGTCAGGTGGAATATGGTTGAGAAATGTAGCGGCCCCCTACCACTCCTCCAAAGCTAACTGCCTCCGAGACCACATTGCGTTGCCTGCTGATGAGGTCGCATGCTTGTGGGACTTAGAAAAATCCTTCTCTAGTCGTCCTTTTGTGACGCCTGGAAATACATGAGTTTCCATCAAACAGCTTTCGACCGTAATTGTTTCAGAAGGTCGTGTGTTGCGGAATGTCGGCCAACCAGTCTGAAAGAAGTACCTCGATGTTTTCAATTCTCACGCAATTGAACTCCGCGAACCTTAGAAGGAACACTGCGAACTCCTATGGAATTTGGGGGTGTGTGATATCTATCGGTTTGCTACTTCCTGTACTTCAATGATCCCCCCAAGAGATTTTACGGCGAGGTCGTTCTGTAAACACTACTTTCTGTTAAACAGCATTAGCCTCTGAAACTGGGCAAAAAAAGTTACCCCGGCGGTTTCATTCTTCGGGGTGCGATTGAATGAATTTCTCTCGGTACAAAAGTGGATGGTTCCGATTCGTCGTATTCTCTCCTTGGAAAAGGCCAAGAACGTCCTAGCTAAAACCGAATAGTGTTATTTGAGCTACATATCGCCCCTGTTCCGAGCGATTGTCGGCAATAGGTTCACCGGGGACTGGCCATGACACAGCAACGTGAAATGTAAGCGGCTATCTTCGAACTGAATGCTATCGAATCTTCGCGCCCTGTCCGGGGCCTGCGTGATCGTGCTTGTGGTTGGGCTGAAATCCTACAGGACATGGTACGCAACCTATCCTCAGGGTATGCGTGCTGTCGTTTCCTAGCTAAAGTTCGCCTGTCGTTGCGCGCTGCGCTTAGGTTGAGTTTCGCTGAAAACACTGCATTGATCTCGTTGACGCCTCCTTATTTCGACGTGATGTTCAGATATGTTTCTTTCAATGTAGTCCAAGGGTGTAGGCATTCTATCCTTGGTCGTTTTCTTTAAGGAGATTAGGCTTCTCCCTAATAAGTTTTTGCCTTTCTATCAATTGGAAAAGGTTTGGAACCGATTGAGAAGTCATCGTTTCAGAAGAGCTTGATAAACAATTGGTAGTTTTTATTTGGGCAACGTTTCGCTTTTGACACAAGCTTCATCGGGCCAAGTGAACAGGTCACCAAATTGGCCAGGTTATAACCACTCAGTAAGTCCTCTTCACACTAGATCAGCGTTGAGTGTCAATTAACAGCTCTCCTCGGCTAGCGTGGGTGCCAAAATCTTGAATCGATGGGTTGGAGGAGTTCCAAATTAGTTCTGATCGCTTTTCGTTCCTTAATCTTCCACTTCAGGGTGCTTCAGTTTATGATTCACCTCGGTTGCCACTGGTAGATTTTCCCTGCTCTTTTTGGGGTCGTGAGTGCCCCCACAATGTAGTTTGAGGGGGTTGAGGTCAAGTGGAATTCAGATGATGAACGCGCTTCCTTCTGATGACCGCACACCAACACGTGTCAGCTCGACTGATCCAGGACTGTTCTCCACACGCTTGCCAGTTCCACACCTCTTCTGTTAACACTGCTTGGCGATTTCTACCGCTTCGGCGATCAGTCTCTGTGAGGTGGACCGTAGTCCTCGCCTCAAAACCTCAACATTTTCTCAATCTATTTTGTGTCCCGTGTCCAGTGCGTGTTCCACAATCGCCGAGTCAGTAACGCTTGATATTCATCTGCGTTTCTCGGCGGACTGTTTGTTTTTCTACTATGCTCTCCGACTCTGATGTGTAGTTCCCTGGCCGTCTGTCCTATATAGATCTTGGTACAGTCATTACACTTAATTTTGTAGACACAGTCCCTGGTTCTGTTTGCCGGGAGGTGATCCTTCAATTGCACCAGTGCAGAGCGCAGCGTTTCCCCTCTGGAAGGCTACTCTTATGTTAGCCGTGTTTAGAATTCCTCGAATGATATCCGATGTCCCTGGTTTACATGGAATAACAGCGTTCCCGATCCATTTCCTGTTGGGTTTTGCTACTGATATCAAAACCCTTCGCAATTGACGCCCAATCAAGCTGGCTGAATATCCACTACCCCGAAGTTTGTTCTTTATTTCAATTTGCGCCGCTGTCCGATGAGCCTCCTCTGTGCACAGGGCCCTTACACGCCTAAACATTGATGAGGCAATACTGGCGAACACCGACTTCGGATGGGCAGATGAGTAGTTTAAAACTGCCCCCGTTGTCGGTTGGCTTCTCGTACACCGTGGTCTTTAGTTTTCTCCAGACCTTATGTGTCATATTCTATCTCCATACCTTGTGCCTTTCTCTTCCCCCCTCCTCACCCTTTACTACGACTTTCTTCTCTCGTGATTGTATGGCAGTTTAGCGCCACTGTGTATTACTGCTGTACTGATTCTAATAATGAGGATGGCATATTGGACTATCTTGGGGATTAACCGATAATTCATCCCTGCAGAGTTATCTCAGTGGGAAACACTATGCATTCAAAACACCCATAGCCATTCGACCTGTCAGTCTATTTTATTCTCTCAGCTTCATTTCTATTTTTGTTTATATGGGTTTCTTCGATAGACCGATTCAAACCAAACTGACCCTGCGACTGAACATTCGCCAGAAAAACCAAATTGGATGTTGTTACCAAACGAGCTGTGGATCGCCATTATCCATCATTTGCCTTTTCCGGATCGTGCTCGCCTTGCGCTGGTGTGTCGTCGACTGTCCAATCTGGTGTTCGATCCGTCTCTGTGGAGGGTGATACAGTTGCATCGGCACCAACATTTGACAAATACTGCACTTGCTTCGATCGGACGGCTCCGTCCTCGTGAATTGCGATTGACTTATTGTCACGGAGACACAATAGCTGCTGATGGTTCGTGTTTTCTTGAAATGGATTTTTCGATGAATTTTGCATGTTACTCGTTTTATACTATATTACAATCGCGTTACTCTCCGTGGAGAGCGTCAAAAGTGCGGAGCCCGTTGTTCTTTCCCATATCCTCAGTTTATCTGTATGACATGTTATATGGATAAAAGGACATCTATTGCTAAGCTATCCCGTCGGTAATGCTTCGTGTAAATTAGCACACGTTTTGTTTCATCAGAACTGTGCAAACAAGTCTAAGAATAGGCGACTCATCAGCACCTTGGTGACCGGATTATTTTTCTCACAGTTACTACAACATACAGTTTTTTCTTGTTTTTCGTTCCTCTGGCAACCACCAACAACAACCTCAGTGTGGTTGAGATCTTTTCGCCTGAAAAATCCCGCCATTAATAGATGTTCATGCCCACTTGGTAGTCCTGACAACACGGTCCGCATGATATCGTTCAAAGTTTGATTAACGTGGCTTCCAATCCATAAACTTTAGTTATGACTCTTAATTGGGTCCATAAGTGGATATACTTGACAGATGAACAGTGATCATCATCATCATTGTCAGCTGTAATAACCGCGTACTCGTCGTACAGTGGTTGTGGCTGTCGCAGTTTCGTTCACCGATGATTCGGGCGGGATGGGGGTAGGTAGCTACGCATTGGAGGCGGGAGCTGATAAATTAGTGCATAAATCCAGCAATGTCAATGGGCTGTTGGAAAAGGAGCTATGCATTGAAGGCAATAGCTTGGATGCACGAGCGCCATTGAGGGCGCGACTGGGCCATGTCTGATAATGTCCCTAGCCATTGATGTGGCCCGTCTCGGGGTCCCCATCCAGGAAGACGGCAGTGACCAGCGCAGCTGAGTTTGCTGGTAATGGCTTTCATACTTCGCTGCCAAGTCATTGTTTGATCGCCTCTGGCTCTCTTCCACCCTTCACATGGTTGGGCGAAAAGAGCCCTTCGAGGAAGTCGGTCGACTGGCATACGCAGCAAGTGGCCAAGCCAGCGTAACTGATGCAGTGTGATCAGTTCATCTATCGAGGGTGAGTTATTTCTTCCGAATACCATTCGACGTACTTCAGAATTGCTGATCCGGTGTTCCCACCAGATTCGGGCAATGCTCCGAAGTGATGAGTGATCATTCAAGGAACAGTATCGGTAAAGGTATAAATGGTAGGGACGAATAGGAGTGAGGTTTCTCCACCTCGCCGTGTGACTCAATGACCTAAGGAATATAGTGCGGATTTCATGGACGCGTCAGGCATCCACCAATTTAGTGATCTGACCTGCCTGGTTATATTGGGCTTACCTAATCTGGGGATGCCTGAACTATGACAGTCTGACTCCTTATGCTAGCGTGCGCATCAGACACTCTTCGAGAGGAGGCTAGACTTATTTTTTCTAGCTGATTGGGCCATTGGCGTGTGCTGACTTTGAATCAGAACCTCCCTAGACTGTCCCTTTTCAACAGCATTCGCTTCTTCAATATATGGATGCTGGTTGCTTGAGGGGATCATGTTGATGCAAGCCACCACCGGATTGTCATCTCTTGTGGTGCAGAGGCCCACTGTTCTTGTCGACTTTTCTGATAAAGTTGGAACCCGAGAAAAGAGAGCCCATGTCAACGTATTATCTCTGCAGATGCATTTTTACGGTACTTTCTAGCTGAAGACCAAAGATTGCGGTAAAGAGCGAGATCGATAAAAGTTTCTCTTGGGTCTACAATGACGTTTATTTGTTCCACATGAAGTCACTGTCGGTGACCATATGCTTTATTCGTGTTACAGACCCATCCTGCTATTTTTGTTTATACATAGGTAGAGGTATCCGATTTTTTTCAGTGAACTGGATCAATAGGCTTTGCGTTGTGATTCAGTAAGGTCATATTCTGACAACGATCACACAATGCCAGCATGCAGAGTGTGACGGATCTACTTAACCTGAACTTTTACTTGTTTAAGTCGGTTACCAAACCAGGGTGCGTGTCGCCTGTTCCATTTGGAACTGCTGAAAAACCAGACTTATCGTCCGCTTTTGGTGTCACTTGGTTTTGATTGTCGGAGTTTCAACAAGGGATAAGATAACCAACGCAGTACAGCCAAGTTAGCGAGTTCAGTACCGCTAGTAATGTAACTCAGTTCACTAGATTCTGTCTTGAGTGCCAGCAGCATAAAGTGCTTGTCTCCACTCAGCAAAAAGACTCGTCGGGGTGACTTGATTTGTTGGTCGAGTTTAAGTCGTTCAGTGATCCTGCCGGCTATATTAAAGCTGGAACTCCGTTTCACAAGGTTCACTCATGTTAAGAACGCTCAAGATGAACTGCTAAAGAGGACTGTCTCTCCCACGAGTAGTCGCATCATGGGAACTTCTGGAGATCAATTTGAACTCTTCTCTGTGATAAGAATGTAAAGGCAATGATGTTTTTCCCCAGACTACCATCTGATGTGCACTTATGGAAACAACTGTGCTGCCTTCTCCAGAAGAAAAGCGAATTAGAAAGGTCCAAACGGTTAACTGCAACCTTCGGCGAATACTGGTTCTCACCTAAAATTCCAAACACATCTGCTGTGCGCAGTAACCCCAGGAACCAGACTTCTATACGTTGCTTCTTGTGTCCTCCGACACAACCTTACGCCCAAAGCTAGATGGGTCAGTCCATTGGGTTAAGGAATTCAGGAAGGGTGCTTCAAAAAAAACTCGGACACCTACTGTCTTTGAAACTGTGGTCAGGGTTCCGCAACAAAACCCAGCAGTATCACAGACTTTTCAATCACCCTTGGTCTGAACATCCGGGAACTATCATTTGCCCTCATTGCTCAGTTGAGCTCTCCCATCTTCACAAGTTTAATTGACATTTATTCGCATACTCGAGAAGAATAGATGGTTTTGTTTGAACCCCGTTGCGCCTGATAGGACATGAAATATAATGGAGAACGCTTTATTGCCCATTGGAGGCTATTCATCAACGATATCCTTCCAGACTTTTGGGTGTTTTATCAACTAAGCGATTAGCTTCCGTTAGCCACCACGCCTGTGTTAACATGCGTTGGATATAAGCATGCGAGATTCGCGAACTTGTGTGCCTCATAAATTCTCAGAAACGCCACTTCAACTTCTTCCAACTGGAAGCAATAGCTTCAAGTATTCCAGTCGTTCCCTACCGTTTACAGCTTTCAAGAGGCGGCAAATATGTATAAAAAAAATTCCACTGTATGAGTTTGCTTGGGGTTTTTAATGGGTTTACTAGATCTCTATCCTCACTCCACATGTGCTTCTCAAGCCACTGGTTCTTATCTCGGGAAGCACATCTCGTCAAAGTCATGGCCCATTCGGACTGCTTTGAACACAATACCAAACCATCCGTCCGATAAGTTCAGCCCCCGTACTTAAAATAATATGGAACTATCAGAAGAGAGCTACTCACAAGGTCGCTGAAAACTCTTCGACAGCCCACGACCGGTTTCACCCTTCTTGGGGCTCATCAGGTAGGCGCAGTCCCCGAGTTCCCATCAATCTTATGTTCCACTTGAACCCAAATTGGACTGTTTCCTAGAAATACTCTCATTTGCAAATCACGATATTCGGTATTCGAACTAACAACAGATTTTACAACTATTTACTCGAATCATCTGTACCTTCGCTCGAGAAAGGTTGATTTCACAGTGAAACCCAGAGAGGACGAATTCTCTAACAAGTCTGAGTTGCAGTCCAATGCGCACGGTGTATCTCAATTGCGTTGGTGGAGAATGACGAGAAAAACACTGGCTTAGGGGTGTTAAACAACCCGATCTGAGACAAACTGCATCGTAAGTTCGCGGTGTGTTTTCAACATAATAAACGATGCCGCCGATTCCAAGAAGCCAAATTTGTTCTACCACGTGATTACGAGGCGAATCAAATGAAGAATGCAAATGGGTGAAAATCGTTTGTCACATGAAGATGTATTGTCTCCTATGGAATGATGTTTTTGGTTCACATGATTACGGTTCCTGACCTTCGCCCGGTTAGAACAATGTCTCCAACTAGTATATTTTCGATAGTAATGATCCAGAATGTATCCCTCGGTTCCAATTTCTTCCTTCAAAGTGGATGAAAGAGACACACAAGGGTCCATTATGAGTACAGTTCATTTTTACTACAAATCTTCCGCAAAGACGTTATGGGAAAGCGAACAGAAAGACCATTTCCCGAAAATTCCCGCATACCAAACAACTTGGCGTTTTACAGACATTGCGGTTGTCTGTCGTGCATATTAGTGCATACGCAGTTTGCTGTTTATCGGACCTCTCTTGTTCGCAATCGTTTACAAACGGCTGAATTGTGGAGTAGAGAAAGTGTAAAACATACACGGAGAGATAGAGATTTGCAGAAATGTTTGCAAGCTCACAAGTCCTCAGAGAACCCAAATGTTGCCGAAGATTTCACTCATCTCAATCAGACGAATACAATCTGACACGATCGTGGCCCCAGGTGCAATGGTTATCCCAAACTTGTGCTCAGTCCACCGAACCCTTCTGTGTAAATTAATGTAAGCTTAGATTCAAAGTTCAAGCTGTCTCACCTACCTACTGGCAACCACCTACAAATGACTAGTCGGCGCTCTGCACAGTCATGTCCCAGTGAACCTGGTTGTTGCCAAACTATAACTGTTGTTGTTGTTGGTGGTGGTGTTGGAGTTTTATGTTTTGGGACAACAAATCCATCAGTATCGTAGATTGTTAGCTTCTTCGTGGACCGTATGAGAGTGTCCATCATTTCCTAACGCATCTATCCATCTATCGCATCTCCCGTTTCCACAAGCAGTGTCGTTCAATAGTAGCTGATTCAAATTTTCCAGTAGTTAGGTTGTTACGAACAAGCGTTGTTTCCGTTTTTGAGATCACGATCATCTACAAATCGAATTTGCCTGCATGTGCAACGTTGTATTGATTCATTCTCCTATACTCGTGCACTTTTCACCCACGCCAGGTTTACGCCAGTTGTTCCAGGCCTGCGGTCCGAGTTTACGCAAATTGTCTTTCATCGGTTGTACCAAAGGTCTTTTCGATTATGACCTGCCTCTACTCTTGGCCGCCAAACACTGTCCCAATATGAGTCACATCAACGCTAGTTACACCCAAGCGGTTCGCGATCAGACTGTGATCGCTCTGGCCAAATCGGCTCTACATTTAGTCAGTGTGAAGTTGAACGGAGCTCAACAGATTAGCAACTCGGCGATCCAGCAGTTGGTTCACTACCACAAGGATACGCTGGTAGGTGTTTTGTACTCTCTTTATGCATGTATGCCCACGTCTCCCACTAGTGTTGATCTCCAACCTCACCTTGCTGAGGATAACAATTCAATCCAAGATGGATATCGATAGTGGCAAGAACTTATGATATGCTGTAACTTTTGATAGTCGACTTTCGTGGTATATCTAAATTCCGAAGCCAAACGTGTGTCAAATAGAGTTTAGTCATCAAATGACGAAAGTGAGGTACAACTGAAGTATAACTTGACTTAAAAGATTATCTACCTGTATTCCATCTTCACTCCTTTGATCACCGATTCCTTCGTGCCCTAAATGGGTTCTCTGGCTGCAGCAATAAATTGATGCGTGAATGAGTATTCTATGGCGAATCGGTATTGCCGGAGTAGCAGAGAAGGCTGATGTGTTGGGGACATATACTACTAACTGTAAACCATGTACCACTGTAAGCCGTATTCCAAAGTACGAAAGTTCTAGCTGCTACAGTCCCGTACACCAACGGTACAAAGACTAGGGGAATTAGTTTTGAACCGACAGAAAAGCAATGTTTTCCGTCCCGGTGGTAGTTCATGACGTGGCGACGCGAAACAAAGATGGGTAGTGTTAAACTAGGTACTGCATGATCTCACTCCTTCCTGGTTAGAGTCCGCGTGATTCCCATTCGAGTGTATCTGGAAACCATACAAGGCATCTCGCGTAAACGATCCTGGCGAAGAGTGTTTTTCGACTTTCTAACTGGTCTGGCTAGCTGCTGTCCTCGTACGTTGGGTTCGTGTTACGATGCTATATCAATCTTATTGATGACGTCTCACTCAGACATCACGCTTAGGTGTTTTTTTGCTGCTCGAAGGTGTAGGCACCCCTCTCTTTGTCGTTTTCCCTATGGATAAAAGGATCCATAAACTAAGTCCCCGGCTTTCTCACTGCTTTTCATCCCTTGCAATAGTAGGTGGTAGGTAAATTTCACTTTTGTCGCGGGATTATTTCTGCCGATGATGGATACGAAGACGAAACCATCGGTGCAGTGGTTCAAGCCACAAAAATTTGCATCGAGCCCTCGAAAGGTGGGACTTTGTTGCATTTTGCCTTCAGTTATGAGTTGCCTGACCTTTCTCTTCTGGGAACGAAATGATGGAGCCTGGAGGTGGAAGGTGACCTCTGCAGAAGAACAGATCTTATAGAAGCATGATCTGTTGTGGACTCCTTGGCGAGTGGGGGGTTGTATATTGCTGCCATTCACCCCTCGCCTTGCACATGTTTTCCATACTTCAGTCATCTACCGCAAACATCTGTCTACATTCAACGAATACTAGCTAGCTGAATCCGTGTTTGGGTCTCTCATATGCAAGGACGAGTTGTCTTAATAAATGATGCGTACTCAATTCTTTGGGTTACATCTTTGTTTCCGTCGACGACTTCAAGTGGTTGTTCCTTTGACACATTTATATCTTTCCAATGATGTCGACTTTCTGATCAAGCCGGCAATCCATTCCTGGGCGACAGTGACACCGCTACTGACGATAACGACGTCTCGTGTACAAAATCCCCTATGCGGGTCATTTTACCGACATTATGAACGGTTGTTTAACATCATATCTACACTCTAGATATCAGAGCATATTTTATCGCTGTGTATCCAAGATCTCCACTTACCGTACGCCATATGTGTGAATAAGCATGTTCCGTTACCAGGGCGTGACCTTGGGTCCTAGGCATCAAATCTAAAGATTGAAACTGAAGCCCTTCGTCTTTCAGACCTTTTTAATCAATGTGAAGTTAATGAAAGAAACGTCTCACCCCCAAACATCTGCTAGTTGGATGAAGTAAAACGTTAGACCTAAATCCATGGCAGGTTCATTTTCGAGTATCTCCATCTTTCATCTCAGTCCCTCGGGGACCGAAACCCAGCGATTTTCGCCGCAGCGATCAGCAATGCATTACACTAATGCACTGAATAAAGCACTACCATTCGCACTGCTCATTCAGTCGCGACTTGTTCTTCGGTTTAACAAAAGGCATCCACAGGCACATCCAATGCATCGTTATTTTTTGTATCTTCGATTCGTTTTTCACCGTCTGGTCCAGCTTTGTTCACGGCGTAGATCGATCAGTTTGAAGAATCTAATGCACCAATCGTCTCTCTCCCACAAATTTCATACATGGAGTATATTGCCGTTGGGATACCCACTGCCGATCTGAGATCACACTCTTGCACCACCACATGCGTCTGTCTAATGAAACTATGGATCCAGGAGCCCCGCCTGGTTAAATTTCATTCAAAGTCCGGTTTAGGGCGACCAACTGTGTACCATAGCCTTCATTTGCCACGTACAACCTCCCTCGCAAGTGCCTACCAGTTGTGGTATTAGGGCTATACCAGGTTCCGCATTTTCCGTTCATGAACACCTAGCTGAAGATCAATACATTCCCTCACGTTTTATAGCAACGGCTCGAACTTTTCGGGTGCTTCCGACTCAATTCCGACATATTTGCGATACTGGGACGCTGTCAACAACTTCGGGCGCTGGCGTTTGGTCACTTGCATCATCTGTCATCTGATGGTTTGCTGGAATTGGTAGGAAAAGTAAGTTTGAGGTCACCACCGTTTGGTTGCTTTTTGATGTATTCGTTGACCCTAATTTCAGGTTACAGTCTGATGGTCTCATCCAGATGTTAGCAATTTATCGCAATAGTACAGCTATTCTATACAACCTCCTGCTTTAGAAGCGATGCGAAAAATGAACGTACTTCTTAAGCGTTCTAACTCAACTTACGTGAGATCGAACTTCATCTTTGTTTCTTCTTACCAAGTTTGGCTTAGAAGCAATGGTAACGTGCACTTTCATTAACTGTTGGTGAACTCGACAACAGCGCGTTGGTTCACTCTTCTGGTTCGGTCGTAGGTTATCCGCTTTTCACTCGGGATAAAAGTTAGGCGAGCTGTGTTGGTATGTTACTCCTCGCATCCGCCATCTGCTGTCTAGCTAAATGTAAATATCTCAGATGTTGAGGTGCAGGCTGTTGACACGGGGATCCTTGCGGTACTATTCCACTCATTGCACTCCTATGGCTTCGATCTAGATTCAGGCAACCTGTCAGCAGCTTGGCTCTTGCGCTTTCTAACGTAATGGAGAAAGAAGCGAACGAAACCTTGTGAAAGCGAGTAAACAAGGCCTGTTTTTCATAATGGGTAGTCCCTCTATTTGAGGAGGTGACTCCGGGGGTGATGACACGAACTCCTCACTGAAAGATCAGGTATAGTCTCTCTCTAGGTTTACTCCTGTTGGCGATATGGCGGTCGAGTTGCTTACCCTATCGGCGACTAGACACGCTGCTGGCAAGGAAACCAATTATTGAAGAAACTAATAGCTGCATGGATTTCGGCTGATATTAAAGGAGCTTGAAATCATCCTGATGCTCTCGAAAGTCCTGTCGGCTTAATCATGCAGCTCTTGCTTGATAGTTACCTCCCTTTGGATTTTATTTTAAAACATGATCGCTCCGTGGCGCTGCCTTCTCTTCAGCACTGTCCGCAGTGTCGTATGCACATAGCGAACGCCGAATCATTTGTCAGCAACTTCGCTTCCCAAAAAAAGAGAACGTCACGACCTTCTCGGGACAGGGGTGGTAATAAATCTTTGTCGGTGCAGAATTCCCTTGTTGTCTATTGATAACAAAGAACACCCTTTCGGTGTCTAGCTGCCATGCCACCGTAAGAAAGCATGAAAATTGAGATACTACTAGATTGTCCGAGCCTAGGCAGGAGCAGTTGACATACCGAGGTTGGGTTCGAACCACGGACTTTGCAATCACTAAGTTCTCGCCATAATCGCTGAGCTATCCCTTGTTGTCTCTTGTTGGATTACTGTATTACAGGTGATTCTCTTGATACTAATGAGTGCTAGAGAGAATATGCACTCTCTTTCAGCCTCTAATTGAAACACTTGCTTCATAAACTATAATGGTTGGTCGTTGGATTTTGTGATCTGTCGGTAGGGAGTTTATGCGCTGCTAAACCAACATAGACTAACAATTGCAAAATGGAAAGGATCACCAAAGGAAGGGGAAGGAATTCATCGTTTTCTAGCTTCAGACTCAGCTTCATTATCGTGAATTCTCATTGTATGTATGACGCGCTCAAGTATATGGTATCGTGCACTCATCGGTCGAACTCTGTTGTGTTAAGTTACTTAGGGCCTGTTGATGTCACATAATAGTGTAGCCATATATTTTACCTCTGTTTCTCACCTGGGAAGATTCCTTGCTAGACAGCGTGCACCTGTGCCACAGATTTGAAGGCACCAACCAATGGAATATAGTCTGTTAGTCCCATTCATCACACAGTTCCCGCAGTCGGTTAATCTTGTGCCAAGAGCAAGGAGACAACACATTGCGAGTCGGTCCGTTCGCGGCTGCGAAACCCCATTCGACCTATGGTAGAGTCCAAAGTAGCGCTGAATACATGATGGAGCTTCACTTCACTCTATAACGCAATCAGCTGGTAAGCCAATTATGTAAGTGCAACGCAACGACCGTGAGGCTAAAAACGTATGCATCTGTCCACCTAAATCTATGCTTGTTTGTGTGGATCGAGCAAACGTCCCTGGCATCACGTGACAATTCGCCCCTGGATCGAATGACCTAGAACAGAGCTATAAGTGTTTGCGTTATACGTTTCTTCAGTCATTTCCGGACCACCGTGCCGTCTTTTGGATCTCTTGGATAGGTTTGTTGATTTAGAGTGCTGGGTCACAACTGACAGCCCAACTGTCGGAAAGCTTTGCAATTTTGTGTACAAACACCGGACGTATAATTTCGTGTCTCTGTTGCAGACCAATTACAAAACAGCTCGGTGTTCTTATTTACTGGAGTCGCCCTTACTTGCTTGTCTATCGGCCTGACGCAGTCCAACCATGGGTCGCACTGTAACCAATTTTATTCAACAGTCATTTCAACTTACTCGGGTATCTTACAGAGATCCCACTATGGTCGCTCTGGTAATTTTTTCTACACTGCTTTTGTTGAGTTGTCTGGATGGACTCCATAATGTTGTTCTTTGCATTTCGGAAAGGCCAAAATCTCTCCTTTGGGTGACTCATGAATGAGTCATTGATTTTCTGACCGCTCACTTTTTCGTGACCGGGCCATAGTGGCTAATAATCTGGCTTTGAACAAATCCTATCCACAGTTTGTCAAATCTACCGGTATGGTCATTTTCGGACCCACTGTGATGTTGCGTGCTTTTGTGGTTTAGCCAGGTGAATGCTATTCGTTCGGACTTCACGCCAGCAATGGGCTGGTGGAAGATACACTGAACGATTGATTTGTGTTAGCAATTAGTTCCATGTTTGTTCTCTCAACGTACTGGTACTAGACAAGAACCGGTACTATCTCATTAAGTTTAGCCCTCCTGCTCTACTCAAGCAGGTTATCCAAGCCATCGATGAGACTTCGCTGCCCAAGTCTAATGCAGATTCAAGTGACAAAGTTTTCAGCCCTTGTTTTTAATTAATTACTCTTTTTGAGTACTTTAGATGTATATGTTACTCTTCATCAAAACCCAACGTTCTTCCCCCAGTTGCCCCTGTTGTCTTCGTTGGATTTGCGTGGAACACAAACTTTGTCCAGTGATCTCAATCTCAGCCGATTGGCGGATAAGTGTCCACACCTGGAAGAAGTTGTACTGGCCAACATGCATTCGCTGAAACATGAGGCAGGAATAGCTCAAATGCTACGCCGCCTCCCACGACTCCGCGTGCTCGATTTATGTGGTTTAGGCGCCGTCGGTGACCTGACCATGGAAGCGCTGGCTAGTGGGTGCCCGCAACTGGAAGAGCTAGATGTCAGTTGTACATCCGTCACCCAAAAAGGGTATGTTGCCTATAATATTCCATGGGTGAGGCATTACTTGCTATGGTACCATGAAGACAGATCCGGATATTTGGTCAAAGTGATCGGGTGATCCGTAAGAAGGGCCTAGAAGCTAGATTGCTGCTTGTTGAATGGTAGGCATGGAAAACAGTTACGCTTGACGCAGGTCCGCCACCTATAGATAACCATTATGCTTTCTTGTGTACATGGATTCCAGCAAACGGATGTGAATTAGGTCCAACATCCCACTCATTAGAATATCTCCCAGACTGATCTACGTTTCGTTGGAGTTGGACACTTTCTTACTAATCCTCGGAGCTTGGGATAGCGAAACGAGTTTAACTGCAGGGTTCCTGATGAGATCCATTTGACTATCGGGTCAATTGGTTAATCTCTTACCTCCCACAGGTCACGTGGTAGTGGTTCATCGAGTTAGCTCCGTTGCTACGGGGTCCACAGTTTTGAACGTGGCGTGAGGGCCTAGGTTATAAGTGAATGACGCTTCACTGTCTAACGCTAACCATGCACACCGTTTAAGAAACAATTTGCGGTCGGGTTTCAGTTTCATAAGTTAAACGAACCCCGACCAATATCCAAACCAGGGCCGAACGTACTGGAAAAATGTTCTATCAACTTGTCGACAAGCCTGGCGTCGTCTTGTGATTGCACAATGCATTCCCGTGTTGCCCTTTCACACACACAGTCACACGCAGTGAGGTAACTACCGGTCGTTTCTGTTAACGTCTCATTTTTATCATGTTACTAGTTGATCCCGGAGTACTAGGTGTTTGCGAATTGATGAAGTTCAACAATGGGTTTGAATGGAAAAATGAAACAATTTCCTTTTTACGTCATTAGGTCTGGGTCGACCTGTGTGGAGATTATCGGGATGGGGACCAACAACCAACCTGAATGTTTGATTATGACATCCTTTGCAATTCGGCACTGATGTGCATGTATTCCCTACCCTCCTAGTGATTCTACACATACTCCTTCATCGAAATAGATTTGTCGCTCCTCAATCAATGGCATCTGTTGCTAGCTTGCTTTTCGGATATTCTATGCATACTTTTACGGCTCGCCTCTGATTGGTACATATTCTTTCCTCTACAGGCTATCTCATCTCACGCTGGCACCGGCCAAGAGCTTGCGTTGCCTGCGAATCAGCCACTGTCGTGAGATCACTAGGGACGTCCTTGAAAAGCTCGTTAAAGCATGTACAAAGTAAGTTTGTCTAATTTCCACAGAAGAGCCTAAGTACATTGCTCCGTCTTTCTGACAGCGAATGTGCTCCCTCTCGATTTTGTTTGCCCTTTTTTGAGGTCGTGGTGAAGTGTTGTGCACACAAAATGCACAAAAAACGAACGTCCGTTTCAAGTTTATCTTTGTTGTCCTGTAATCTCCTACCTGTGGTGATGCTTCGCACATATCATCACAGTTCCACTACTGCCATTGCAACTTTCGGTCAGAGATCACCAATCCATACACGCGATCTCTCGCTTTGCTTTTTGGTTTTAATTCTCAGTGGCCTATTGGTTTTGGCGAACTCCTGCCTAGGCTTCAGTAACCTGACTAAAGAAGGTTTGTATCTGGACAGTTTGAGTATTGTCTGTTTAGTATAGGCGGCGGAAACTGCATCAGGTGTGCCAAAATCGGCAGAAACCCTGCTTCTCTACTCGCTCCCACAGTGATTTCACCAAATCCGCTTACCGTTTGCCTCGTCTAGCTTCCACGCATCAGACACACCTGTTCTCTGCCCTGCCTCCACTGTTTTTTGTACATTGTTTGCATGCGCCGTTATTTTTCACCTGAATTACTAATCTATTATTCTTTCTCCCAGGCTCACCATACTGTACGCGTATGGCTTCAAGTCTATATCCGACTGGAGTTTCCTACAAGCTGTCCGTCCTGCCCTCCTAGTGGAAAGTGACGTGTGACAAGAGAGATTGGTGTTTGACTTACTCCCGCCTGCTCTAGGAGAAAGCAACCAGTCGATTTTCTCAATGGTTGCCACGATCGTCATGAGTTCCATCTCTCTCTCTCTCCCACCAATCACAGATAAACAGAGGCAATCCTTGTCGTGCCTCTGAGCCCGTTGTGCTGTTCGTTTTTCTGGCGTGCATCCGGTGATTGTACTGGCTCGCTCTCATGCAGCATAGACGCACATCACGCAGATGACCAGATTCCTTCATTTCATTCCAATACTGTCTCCAGTCTGATTACCACCAAGATCTTGTTTTTATCACCGAACATTAGACATACAGTCAGATCATCCCTTCTCGCTGTATCTCCGTTGTTTGGCCTCATGGCCCCTTCTCCATCATATTCTGTTCTCACCCCGGTTAATCAGATAAAAATACCGCTGAGCACTCACATGTCGGTTATAGGTGCTAGTATCCTAGTCCATCATCTCACGTACTCAACCAGTGCTCGGGCGTGTGCAATCTCAGCTGCAGCTTGGGTGTTTTTTTTTTAATCTTTGTTCTTCAACAGACCCCTCACCTGTGCGATACCTTTTCTCGCCCTGCCTCCACTGTTTTTGTACATTGTTTGCATGCGCCGTTGTTTTTCACCTGAATTACTAATCTATTATTCTTTCTCCCAGGCTCACCATACTGTACGCGTATGGCTTCAAGTCTATATCCGACTGGAGTTTCCTACAAGCTGTCCGTCCTGCCCTCCTAGTGGAAAGTGACGTGTGACAAGAGAGATTGGTGTTTGACTTACTCCCGCCTGCTCTAGGAGAAAGCAACCAGTCGATTTTCTCAATGGTTGCCACGATCGTCATGAGTTCCATCTCTCTCTCTCTCACCAATCACAGACAAACAGAGGCAACCCTTGTCGTGCCTCTGAGCCCGTTGTGCTGTTCGTTTTTCTGGCGTGCATCCGGTGATTGTACTGGCTCGCTCTCATGCAGCATAGACGCACATCACGCAGATGACCAGATTCCTTCATTTCATTCCAATACTGTCTCCAGTCTGATTACCACCAAGATCTTGTTTTTATCACCGAACATTAGACATACAGTCAGATCATCCCTTCTCGCTGTATCTCCGTTGTTTGGCCTCATGGCCCCTTCTCCATCATATTCTGTTCTCACCCCGGTTAATCAGATAAAAATACCGCTGAGCACTCACATGTCGGTTATAGGTGCTAGTATCCTAGTCCATCATCTCACGTACTCAACCAGTGCTCGGGCGTGTGCAATCTCAGCTGCAGCTTGGGTGTTTTTTTTAATCTTTGTTCTTCAACAGACCCCTCACCTGTGCGATCCTATTGTGACTAGTCGTGTTCATCACTGATTCGCGATTCGACGGCTACTCATCGTTCAGTATAGTCTCTCAACTGGATTCCAGCTTTTTTCAATATCTCCCGTCTATCATCCCACTTTGTTAGGTATGCCATGTCCTCGGTTTTGTATTTTTATGTTCTTTTATCTGTTATATATGCTGCGTGAAGTCCTGGTCACGTGATCCCCGTCGGTCTTTGCCACCGGAGGCTACGCATATCGACTAAACTCTGTCCGAGTATTCCTTCATCTTCTTTGTAACGAACTCCGACACACACGCACCGTGTACACATTTCGAAACGTACAAGTGACAGGCGCTCAATAACCATTCCATTCTTGATGACCTGCACGATTAGTTATCGCTTTCTCTCTTGCTTGGCATGTGTTCTACTGGAAACACCTGTTTTGTGGGGAATAGAATTATAATCGATCAACTTTTGTGAAAGATGATATCTGGGTGAGCATCGTAACATTACTCCAGAGGTTGGGCATCTTGGTCGTCATGTAAGGAATCCGAGTGTACGTTCACTGGGTGGCCCCAGGCTAAAGCGTAGGTTATTAACGTTACCGGACAGCTTGGATCCTTCGACTCAGGGAGCGGCGCTGGTCACCGGCCAGGCAGTTTCATACAATGCATCACAGACACCTACTGAGCGCATAACATGTGACTCCTTTCCCGTTTTCCCCATGCGAGCCCCGACGAGCAACCTCCCTACAGCACGACCACCGAACTTCGTGGCGCCTGGTACAGTCGTCAAGCAACCACCTGTAAATCTGCATTCATTGGCGATCCCCCTTCTACCCTCGTTGTAAAGGCTGCCGTTTTACATGCCAAAACGGGGTTTTCGGCCCTATCAACAGCAGAATCGTTAACAGATAACGGAAAACTCGTCGCTCTGATCGGTAGTTACTAATAGTAATCTACAACCTAGCCATCATGCATCAGATATGAGTTCTCCTAAAAATGAAGTGAAAATCTCGACAAGTGTAGTAAAATCATTTTTAATTGCAAATAGATAAATCTGGTGACTGTGTCACGTTTATATACTACTTTGGTGAAAAAGTAGGATGTTTAGGTATAGTGAGAGATAGCTTGAGTGCGTCGAAACTGTTTGAATGTAAAAAATGGCCCGAGGCGAATACTTTGTCCTTTCTATCGATTTATGGTCAACAGTTCCCAGACCAGTAACTACAAAAGTTTTATAATTACTCCCTTTCGAATTAATTTTGTATTAACGATAGATTAAACTGAATCTCGTTCACCTTAGTCTACAGTTGAATGTGCTGCGCAGAGGCCGTTTCGTTTTTCAGTTGCAGAGATATTCAGTGTATCGAAGTTCTATTTACCACGCTACACAAATTCGATGAAAATTCGTCGACAGTTCACTACCTGCGCTCTTTTTGGTCCTCGTTACTACCACGTTAATTTGCAAATGAATGTATGCTTTCACTTACAAGTCGGTGTTCAATTAGGAAGGTTGACGGAGGCTCGGGTCGACAATCCAATAACCTCATCCATCGCCATAATGTGTAACATTAGGGAGAGTGGTGAAATACACCCATTTGAAAACTAATTTGGTTTTGCGGGAGGCTCACCTAGAACCCAGCTGACTCCCTCTTTTGTGATGTTTCGAGGGGTAGTGGATTCCTCTGCCTCACTCTGCAGTAATGAACCCATGAATGGGGGAAGCTGCCACAGCACTCTCATAGGATTGTTCGGTGTGTTGCATTAGGTGTAACTGTGCTCAGCAGATCTGACGGTTGTGCCATGTGTAACAGAATCAAAAGCTTTCAAAGTGTCAACAGACGCCAAACTGAGGTGAGGAACAGTTACTCATGAGCGACGACGTTGACGTAGCTTTTCGATGTAGAAATGTAAAGTGGAGTGAATGCAGTTGTGATGTGCGGCTCCATAGAGCAGTGGACATTGCATTAAAGCATCGAACAAGAATGAACGATACGGAAATTGTCCTCACTTGGTCCGACGAAGTCGGGTTCGGGACCTTCGGAACTGCAGTCACCCGGGCACGACACAAATGCTGCGGATAAACCCCGGGAAAGCAATGACGTTGAACTGGCGAAGCATTGTGGACGTCAGGTTATCAAGAGAATCATACGGCCCCGATGTAATTGATCAGACCCCGGTGGCAGCACTGTGCATTACCCATGTGTTTTGGAGCAGAGAACCCCTGTTTTCGGTGCTCTCCGGTGTCCGGAGGCAGAACAGTCTCCACTGCATAATTCATTCCACGACTCATCGAGCACAGCAGACGTTACCTCTTTCCGCCTCTGGTGTTATAAAGTCTGGATGGTGGTTCAGACGACTTGAAGTGTCCGCTTTCGGTTGGCTGGCACACGATGAGCTTGCTGGCGACGATATCGAGGGACAGGTTTCCACGTCTGCCGAGATGTCTAGATGAGTGAAGATCCACAAGCGTTAGATGCCAAGTTGCAACCCTCGGACGAAGGCCAAAGGGTTAACACTGGCGTGGGTACTATTCATGTGTGCGCAACCCATTGCTTGTTTGGACCACGTGGTATAAGCTACAGAGTCGGATGCACGTGGATCTGTTTGACCGATGGTTTTGGTCGGGGTCATTAGATTGCGATTCGTCCGGGTGTGCTTGCCACATAACATGGTTTTGACACTGATAGCCGATCAAGCAGGAAAACAGTGCCCTACTCTCGTGAACTGTCAGGTTTGCGTATCATAAGACAGACAGAACCTGTCAGCCTGGTAGAAGAGTGACTGACTCTTTTTGAGACCAGAAGGAACCGGTAGTTTTCACTCGGTCAAGCTTATCTACGTTGTGATGGGTGGGGTGCGCATGGCGGTGGTGTTTAACCCAGACCAGTCTGGGGCAGCAATCAGCACAGACCGATTTTGCGACCACGTTCGTGTCAACATTTTCATGTACGAGAACTCGACAGTGCGCTGCCAGTTAAGTTTCCGATTTGTAGCATTAACCATAACCTTCACAACACATGGGTCACGCGCGTTTCTCCTGTGTACTGGCTGGAACTGGTGTACAGGCGTCCAATGGATCGTGTTGTTCATTGTCAAAAGCAACCAGTACGTTGCCCCCGACTGCAGTTGCCGAACTCCTGGTTCACCTAGAGTGACGTGTGGACTACCTAATCAGCACCACGAAAAGATGGTTTAATGTGAATTCCAAACCTGCTTGTGACAAAGCTTATTTAGTTTGACATACTTAAACTGAACACATGTTCTGAGTTGGTTCTCTAAAGATTTTTTATTCAAAACGACCAACATCAGTGGCTTTTCGCGTTGTTTTTCCAATGTGTAACGTGGATTAATCGGTTAGGGGGGGCGGCAAAGCTCCCAGTGTTGGAGAATGGTTGCGCTGCAAGTCAGAGTCAACCGCGAAAGCGCTGGACTGCGGATTACCGTCACTATTCATCATTGTACCTGTTTAAGTCCGTCTTACCCACCCCTGGAATCGTTACGAAACATTTGCACACAAAGCCGAACCAAGGTATAAGTCCAACTTATGCAGTAGCAAAAACTATACCTGATTGTGACAAGCTTCTAATCGCTGCATTCGAACCGCTGTACGAGGTTGTGTCACTGTGGCAGGGTTTACCAACATTTGTTCAACTGCCTGTGCATCCGTGTGTGGGTCATCAGTCGGGTATGCTTACTACTTTACGTCTGCCCTCTAATCTTTTTCCATCGAGTTTATACCCGCCAAAAAGCGCTTAGTTGGTTGCACATGCGGCTAAACGCAGACCGCGTATGACATTACTCAATGTGAGTGGGAGATCTGTCGGCGTAGTTCCGTGCGATAGGTAGGTCCGAAGGAGGACACCAGCCCACCGTGCCTGTGCCCCTCTACCACCGTCCAAACCCACAGTAGTCTCGTGTTCGTCATTTCGGACCTATGGCTTGGGTTGCCAGACCCATCACCTCTGAAATGGCTTCAAGAAATTAAACTAGACCGGTGTTATACATGGGCTTGCTGCAGACCAGGCAATTTGAACCTGCTACCAAAAGCTGACAAGATGACGTTGTGGTCAAGCTTGAATGCTACAGTGACCTCCTGGGTACGACTCAACGATGCCGGGATTGACAGATAGGAATAGGCAAACGAAGAGTGGCGAGACCCGTACTACAACTGACCGCAATACGAGGTAAAGTCGTATCGTCCTCTACGGTACGACTCAAGCCGGGATTGACAGATAGGAATAGGCAAACGAAGAGTGGCGAGACCCGTACTACAACTGACCGCAATACGAGGTAAAGTCAGTCGGTCCTCTACGATAGGGAGACGCTTTACCCAGACGACCAGCATATCCAT